GTCTGTCAACTGGATGTCTGCTGACGCTACAGTATCTAAGTGCCATCCTCTCGATGCTCCAGCAGACAGCTGCGTTCGACCCTCTTATGCGCATACTGGTGCAGATCTCGCTGCTTTGCACGGCGATGAGTCTGTTCTTTGGGAGTTTATACTCTGTGTCTTTCAAGGGCGCGAAGGCGGAAACTTGGGCTCAGGTGAAGAACTTGGTACCACGGTCAGCCACATGCTCAGTGTCGTCATCAGGAAAAGAGAACATCTACCGGCACGGTGTTGGCTGTCCCTGCTATTTGGCTGGGCTGGTGCGTCGACTCTCCTGTGTGATGCCGTATAATGGACTTTCGTACAGGTCGATAATCCTCTTCGTGACATGCGTGATAGTATTTGCTTTTCGCTCGACATCAGAAGCACACGATCCTCTCTCTAAAGACGCGGCGCGTGGACTGCGCATCGGGATGGGCATCTTGCTGGGGCTAGGGCTTGGCTGCTTCGTGTTTGTCATCCTCACATTGAGAAGCATCCACACAGGCAACAAACCACATGGACGTCTTCGCGTGGCTCCTACTAGAAGAAAGCCGGCCTCGATCGCAGCTCAAAGAGCTTCAACAGCAAAAAGCAGCCTGTTTCTGGAGCAAGCGTACCCAGGACAGGACGCGCATGCTCTTGACCGGGTTGCTGCACCTTTCGCTTTCCCTGTTGAGGAGATTGCGCCCACTCGGGTGCTCATGCTCGGCTCTCCATCTGACTCGGAAATGGGACCCCCGGAGCGGACCGTTCCTGGGGACCGCATGTGGGCTGCGAGAGATGTGCATGACGCCGATTGGATCAGCTTCACTGAGGTGTGTATCTCGCTCTTTCTCCAGGGCTCCGTGCTGGTTCTCAGATAGTTCTTACATGCAGGACGTCATCCGCGTCTGGTCAAACGAACAGCACAATCGTGAAGCGGCCGTGTCCGGCCTTCTTCACCACTGGAACCAGCGCTTCTTTGTTCCCCGGTCACTCGAGTCTGTGCTATGCCACGAGCAGCAGCTCGCTTCAGACACACATGCCATTGCGATCTACGTCGTGCACCGAAATCCCGACTCGGTCTTGGGGCCGCTTCCTCGACTGAATGAGTGGACGCATGCTGGGCTCACTGTGCATCGGTTCTTGGATGACGGGGATGATGCAGTGCGCTGTGAGACGGTGCGGATCACGCCGATGAATGGGTGGCAGCAAAGAATGGCCCGTGGGGACGTTCCTTCGAGCATCTACATGCCTGTGCAAGCGCAGCAGAATCCCCCAACGCTGGGGTCGCTTCTGTTCGAACACCGAGACAGTTGGACACCGGTTGGCACTGCCGATTGACGTAGTTACAGTGTGTGACCATGGTTTATGTGCAGTTCTGAATACAGAACTCGACCGAGAGATTGAACTGTGAGATGTGTTCATCCTTGAAGCTGAGTCCCGAGGAGTATAGGAAAGTGGGAGTTGATAATGACAGCACGCGCTTTGGAAGGGTCGGAGTTGAAACAGACTTTAACTTGCCCCACATTTCGGAATTTGAATTTGGCTGATCAGGCTTGGCTTGTGTGATTTGGCTTGTGCATCACTTTTGATGTCAACTACCATGGACCGCTGCAGATAGCTCTGTAGACCTTGATGGGCGCTCTTGGTTGTCGCGCTTCGTTGAGCACTGTCGCGCTTCTTTCTTGAACATTAATATTGCGCATCATGAAATTTGTCCGAATCGGAAGCAATTGCTCATTACTTACTGTATAATTACTTATCTTACTCAACGAGTACTACCGCCCGACCGTTCTTTCCACCACATTCCAGATACCTAGAAATACAGTGCATATACAGGAGCAAGTCTACAGGAAAATTAAGTCCTCATTCATCTTATATTTTCAGCAAAATTTTCCCTCAGACTCGAGCCAACTGCCTCACTGGCATATGCCAACGTTGTCAACAGCGACAGTCTGGCGCAAAAATGTCACTGTCAAGTTGAAACTTGCCAGCACCGCCTCTACAATCATCGGTCTGATGGGTTGCTGAGTCAATTAAAGACATGCATGTTCTCGGCTGTTCTCGGCCCCGACTACCCTTCTGCTATGTCGTCTCTCCCATCCGAGCTCATACGGACGATCGTCAACGAGCTTTCCGACGACCGTAAGTCTCTCAAGTCTTGCGCGCAAGTGGCATCGACCTTCTGTGCCCCTTGCCAACAGCATCTGTTCCGTAAGATATGGCTGCACGCGCACTACTCCGCAGCGCAGCGGGAGGAGCACCTCGACTCGACGACCGCGGCCGGCACAATCAAGCGTGCTCACGAGATTCTGGTGCTCGAGGCTCCGCACTTGATCAAGTACGTGCGCGACCTCACATTCGACATACCCGAATCGGCGGAAGAGGATGCACCGCTCGCAGAGATCCTGCGCTCGATGAGCGTCAGTTTACGGCGCTTGGTGATATCGGGACTAGGCGTGGGATGGGATGGTTTTTCGGAGAGCCTGAGCTCGTCACTGTTGTTGGTGCTGGGACAGTCGCCGGCGTTGAGGAGCATGCATCTGCTGGATATGCATGGTGTGCCGATTCAAACGATATATGCGGCCATGGTGCGTCTTACGGCGTTCTCGGCGCACCGCTGTACGTTTCGTGGCAAGGAAGATGAAGATAGGCAGCAGCCTGTGATGGATGCTCCGCTCGAACACCTGATTCTGAGCAAGGATCCGGGTCCCACATGGACTCTCTTCTTCTGTCCCGGCTCACCGAGACTGACTCAACTGAAGGCCCTCTATCTTCGGATGACACCTGATGCCGAGAGGTTCATTGCATCCGTTTCTAGCACGCTTACTTCGCTCGAACTCGATTGTGGAGGTACTAGTCTGAATGCGTGGTCACCAAGAATGCAGATCTGTCTAAATCATTAATAGATCTGTCATTCCCGATCATCCTACCCGATCTCCCCAAACTCACCGAGCTCAAGCTCCGCATCCTCTCCGGGTTTGTGAGACACATCCCATACACCCTGCTTCCCACCATCGCCCTGATCCCTCGGACCGTTTCGCTTACCACCGTCTTCTCTGTGACAACGCGGATGCTGGAGATCGGGTGGACAAGCGACGGCCGTGCAGCGGACACGCATGTAAACATCCAATCGATGACCTGCATTCTGCATTTCCGCGGTCAGAATGGTAGCGAACGCACTGGTTGGGACGGCCAGCGCTCGGAGACTTTTCGGGATTTTCAGCAGGTTTTGACCGATACGTTACCAGAAGGGATGGATTTGGATTTTGAGAGAATGGATGGGGAGGGAGATTATATTGATAGGTTGCCTTGAATCTTTGCAGGTGGATGAGAAATCCAAATGCGGCGGACCAGACGTCATGGCTCGTCCACTCAAATATCTCAATTGCGATCAATCGCGGGTTTGCCAAATAGAATATTCCTCGCATATGCTGGCTGTTGTTCTGCAAGGGCCAACTCCTTTGGACTTTGTAAACCCGTGCTGAGCGCACGCTTTCCAGTAAATCTACAAACAGCCATAGTCTTACACGAGCATACCACGAAGATTGCGACCAACCCACCCACTTTTGTAATGCTCCCGGAATAGTCATCGTACGAATAAGCGGGGAAATTGTGCAACATGATGTGTACGTCTCCGCTGTGTGCTCCGATCGAAGCCTGCCGGTGCTACGGTGACAAAGGTTGTGCAACGGCATGCCCACACCTGGCAAATTAACCGCATGTTTGTCCAGACTTTTGGATGACGCCCGGAGCACAGCGGCAATGTGTCATTCGTGACACATGCACAAACAAAAAGAATCAGAGGGATATTTCGGGTCTCATGCACGTCCTCCAGCCGAATAAGTTGGTGCCTGCCACAGAGCGCAAATGAAATGGGCAGATGGCATCAGTTGCAGATGTCACGTGGCTCATTTGATGAGTTGGCACGCGGACCTCTTCCAAACATCACCAAAGATATTTAGGACTTAACCATGCGTCCTTGTCTAAAACCATCAAGGAGCCTACATGCACACGTCAGCAAAGATCCGAAAATGCACGGATACCAGCGAGACCATCTCGGCTTCTGCTGTCGGATGGTGATGTCGCCTTGGCAGCTGCAGCGAACAAGGGGACTGCCGAATTGGGAATCGTGGCATTTGGTGCGAGCAAATTGGCACACGAGGCTCGGGTGTTCGGGGAATGGGAGCACGCGTGGAGGTAAGCTTTGATTGCAGTGCTTATCTTCTCGAACAGATAATCGTGTCGGTGTTACGGCTGGGAACTGGGCATAACTGCGATGCAGTACCATCTGCTGAGCACCCACTGCTCGGTCTGCTGCAGCTGGATGCAAGATCGTTACACAGCATCTCTGTGCTGCGTCAGAATTTTCTCCGCGACGGGTAGAAATCATGATCTTTGATTCATCCCAAGTCGCGCGGGGGGCTCTCAACGAGGTCCTACTGTATCTTGATCTCGCATGCAGCTGCGGCCGTTTCCGAAGAATCTTATGCTCTCAGAGCGTAGGCTCTCACTCGGGGATTCTCTGGACCAGTCATGCTATCTATTTCCATGCTGCGACCCTGAGACAAGTGGAAACTTGTGCGCTCATCTCATTTCGCGTAGCGATCCGACATGAGCAATATCAGCCGACCGGTGTTATTAATGGGAATACTCACCGCTCCCGACATCTAGGCGTCAGCTATCACACCGATGTGAGTATTCTCCGAGGCAATCGATTATATGATGCATCGTAGATAATCTGCTGCACAAGACCTGCTGCGGTCATCATCAGTGCTGTTGAGCTCATTCTGGAATTTCATGCACCTCGAGGATCGCGGGCCTCATCCGATGTGCTGCAGTCGAGTGGATCCAATCCAAACTGGCAGATTTATACATGCCGCTGGCGGCTGTCCTGGTTCCGCGTCTTCCGAGTTCTACAAGTCGCATTCTTTTTTCCCTGGGTGGAGTCTAAGACCAGAAACGTCCGATCCGTCATATTCATAGCTCCCCCATCATTAGCTCGACTTAATATAAGGAACAGTGCTATACATGAGATCATGGTTATGGGATCTATGAAATCAACGTACATGGAATATTCTCCCTAGGCCATTCAATTAGATTCATACAGCGCAGCTGAGAATCCGAGCGTTCCTGCGCTAGCCTCATTGCAAGGCACCCACTGTCCTGCACCCACAATCAACGCCCAAAAAATGGGTTGCCGACTGACCCCGAGCCCGCGGAAGGGGCCTTACGCGGCGGAAAAGGCGGCGGAACTTTCGGCGAGAAGCGATCGATCAGACCCGTTGTCTCGGGACACAATAGCGTGGGAAACATGCCCTCTCAGGCTTTTCTCGAATCGTGATCCCTGCTTCGTGATGATGTCCGGAGCAACACGCGCCTTGCCCTTGTCTTTAGGCTTTCTTTGTTCTCGTCCTCGCTGGTATACCCTCATCCTCTGCCGACTCGCGTCTCGGGACTAGCATCGTGCTTTCGGGTAGACACCAGCGATATGCCGCCTGTGCGCCTGCGAGAGCCGAGGTTGCTGTATTCTTCGTTCTCGGCCGATGAAGGGAAGAAAGTCGGGGTTTTGGAGGATGCTGATGAGGTTGCTGTTGGGACCGAGGCCGGTGCGTGAACGAGCAACAATAGCTCATAGTATGTGCTCATATTAGCCTTTGCGCTCTTTGCTTCCTCCATTCCCTTGCCGAATGCGTGCACACCCACCAGACGCAGACGACGCAGACGACATGCCCCCACTCGTCGACGCGCCTGCCCTCCCTGACGCCGACTGGTCGCATGTGGCGGCCCAAGAATCGATGATGTCGTCCATCGATTTTAGCAGCGTCACCTTCGCCAACCGGACACACGGCCCATTTGCTTCTACCTCCGCAGCCGTTTCCACATCCCTCAATGGTTTTGACGACGGTCTTGTCGACCAGATCGACTTCGACACAGATTTGCCGCCCGTGAGCAAGGCCGCGGAGCGGCGTGCACCATCGTACATCCCCCGTCCACCCAACGCGTTTATCCTCTTCCGGTCGCATTTCATCCGGACCCAGAGTGTGCCCGAGCGTGTGGAGGGGAACCACAGCGTGCTCAGCAAGATCGTCGGTGGGTGTTTTCTCAAGTAGTTTTTACTTCTCTGCAGGGCTAAAAGCGTCGTGCAGGCAAGTATTGGAAAGCGCTACAGCCCGAAGAGCGGGCGCAGTGGGAGGACAGGGCACGTGCAGCCCAGGCCGAGCATCGGCGGCGGTATCCCGATTGGCGGTTCCGACCCGGAAACGTCAGCAAGAGCGTGCGTGTCTTGGTTGTGTCTTTTCATGTCGAAGCATATAACAAGGCCACAGACAACATTCGTCATGAATACTGGGCAGCCTCGTGGCCGGCGGAAAGGCCGTATCAAGGACGACGGGGGTGGAGAACCACCCCCACCTCCAGCGAATACTGCTTCAGATGAGGCTGCGGACGAGGATACCCTCGCGCCAAATGACGTAGCGGTGACGCTAGCGAATGATGAGCTAGAAGAGCGAGGACGCTCGAAGAAACGACGTGCTACGACCTCCGCCTCAGCCTCACCGACCGTCGTGCGACCAACAACAGGACCTATCACGCGATCTGGACGCACACGAGCGACAACTGTTACAATCACACCTCCCACAGTCAAGTCTCCCAAAAGCAAGAGCCGTGTAGCCGTAGTGAAGGGCAAGGGCAAGGGCAAGGCACGTGCCCTGAGTCAGGATGCGGCAGTAAAGACCCAGGAGGCCAGCGAGACTAAAGAAGAAAAAGACAAGAGAGATCGAGACAATGCTCGATGCGAGAAGATCGCCAATCTGCTAGTCGAGGGCAAGTCTGGGCCGGCGTTGGCAGCTGCTGTCGCTGCCTGGGATGCAGATCAGAGCCGTGTCGATCTTGAGCAGCATCATAAGCGCCGGCGCTCATCTTCGGCTGAAGGTCTAGTTGCTGTTCCCAAGCTGATCAGGCGTCCATCTTCCGGTGCATCGTCTGCCGAAGAGGATTTCCACATCACAACTCCGACGTACGACGAGTCGAAGTCGACCTTCTCGCCCTGGGGCCCGCCGTCGTCGCCTTATCCACAGCAGATGTCTCCGACGTCACCGTACACCCCGTCCTCCCCGTTCCTTCCGCATCAGTCCCCTGTGCCGGCTCAGGTTCAAGCCTATGCGCCAACGAGCTTCCCCCCAGATGTCCCGCTGACTCAAATGTTCAAACGCTCATCGAGTGCTCCGTGCCGCGGTCGGGCATCGTGCCCCGATGGCCATACGCAGCACACCGCTGGTCTAAGCGTCCCGAGCGTTGGACCCATGATCACGCCAGCGACCCAACGTGGCCCAGACCCAGTGTACACTCAGGAGCAGCAGCAGCCTTGGGCGCCAGGCCACACGCGCCGGGACACTATTTCGCTGCCCGTCATGCAGCAGGAGTACTTCCAGTCGTTGCCCGTCAGCGTTTCCGAATATCGTCCGCCCGGGCACGCCAGTTACCCGGATCCTACACACGTGCCTGTACATCCGGGTCCCGGTCCGAATGTGCGATATCGCGAGACGGCGACGTCAAGTGCATGGTGGCATCGGGCGCGAGAGACACATGACATTGAGACGGACTACTCGCCTGCGGAGGAGAACGGATGGGGCGATCGAGGATTGGGGTCGTTCTCTGTAAGCTTGCCGCCGTTCTCTGTTACCGGAGCTGACGGCGATGGTGAACAGCAAGCTGGGCGTCAGGCAACGCCTTCGCCGACGATGTCAACCCATGCCTCTCCGCTGCAAGTAAAGATGGACATCCCAGCGCAGTTCTCTATCTCCAACTTCTCTTCTCTATCTGGCTGGGCTGGCCCACATCAGGACCAGCACCGCTCCCGGGCAGCTGCTCCTGCCTCCAGCTGGAATGCATTCAGCGGATACGTCTTTCCTCCCAAGGACGCCTCTGCATCCTCACCAACCGATGATTATCATACGGGATCAGACTGGGGGCACCACTAGCTGCTCTCGTCTTTTCTTTTGACGACTGACTGACTTTACGACCTTTTCACGATCATAGACACTGTAACCTGGAACTTCTCGTTTCTCATCCTACATCCTCTGAATTTTCGACTTATCACACCCACTGGAACCATCCTTCGACTTTATACTGTACATATCTTATGTAGCTGCGTGTCCCCAAGTTCGCTGTATCTATTCTCCTGTTTGTATTCTTTCCCGCTCATTCACGTATAACTCGATCGATCTTATTCAATCTACATATCAGAATGATAAACTAGGCTCTGAATTTATGGCTTCCGCCCAATCATATATCGAATTTTGTGGGTATCTGATATTCGTACGAGTCTGGGACGAGGACAGGTTTCAACCTATGACACGCCTCTGAGTCTTCATCCTGTGGCACATCGTCGAATTTCTTATCTGTAATTTATCGCCCGACCTGGGAAATATCTCGGACCTCCGCTGGCATGTAGATAAATGTTTTTCTTCCATGACAAGTTACACTTGGAGAGATCTCATCGCGAAACAAGTAGGCCGGTCCTAAAAATTCTGAGATATTCGACTCTGAGATCTGAAATTCGCACCGATTCGCCGCACTGACACAAGAAGACAAGCTGAGCATTCAAACAAGACCGCTTCATCACTTTCTCATCTTCAACTCCGTTGGCATACACGAGTCTGTCGCACCACCCCTCAGGAATGAGTCTGTTCCGTCGCACAAACTCCGCCCGGGAAACAATCGCACACGAGGCGTTGGCTACAGCCTTCAAGCCCGTGCCTTTGACTTCCTGCTCCCACGAGCAGACTTGGATCGTCTTTTACTCGGACCTCCCGAGGAATACCCCAGCTAACAAGACGAAGGAAGTCATAAGCAAGGTGATCAGTCCCCTCCCATTCCTTCAAATGGGTTTCTGAACGCCATTTGCTTGTCCATCTAGCCATGAACAACTTCCGGTCCGATCATCCTACGCTTTCGAGAGCAGCTGGGCTGGGACTGGTGGGTGTCGGCGGCATGGGGTCGTTGCCCCAGCCGTGCTCGTCGGGGCACTTAACTTGGCCGGTTTCAGCGCGACTGGAGTCACAGCAGGTCCGCCTTTCCATGCAGTGCATATGACACCCATTCTTGATACTCATGGCCGACAAGGATCTGTTGCAGCAGGGCTCCAATCTTCTGTGTATGGCGCGGCGGTGGGGTCTGGATCCGCTTTCGCTTTGGCTCAATCAGCCACGATGGGCGGAATCGTCGTGGCGCCTGTTGCAGTTCAAGCGCTCACGGCTGGAGTGATGGGGTTGGGCGCATATATTGGCTTTGGAGGCAGACGGGCTTGATGGCTTTGTACATAATTTATTTGCCACATTGTCGTTACTTGGAAGTTTACTGTGGATTCTGCCGCCGGAAGACTTGGATTCATCGGATGAGCTGTGTCGCAAGGTGGCAGTTCCCCGTGCATGCGCCACACAAGCGCCCGTAGAGCCAAATAAAGATGCCATGAGGTGACGACGTGCCAGTTACCTGCGCTCTTCCCTCTTCCCTCTTCCCTCCGCTCTCTTTCCTTCCTTCGCACAGCGAACATGGATCCACAACTAGCCTTCTACCTCAATGACTGGAATGCACCGATATTCAGCGGCACCCCGGACGAGAGCGTGGAAACTTGGCTAGCGACGATCCGCCTCGGACTCAAATTCCGCCAGGCGCCGCAAGAACTCTGGGTTCGCATTGCGCTGCACTTCCTCGGCGAAGACGTCCAGCGCGTCGTGCGTGCCACGCAGGATATGATGCAGCAGCTCGAGCCTGGGCTGGATGTGTGGGAGTGGGGCTGGTTTACGCGTGTGCTGATGGTGGTCCACGGTCAGTGCCAAAGTTATCCAGCCTGGTCCATCTGAGCCGCACTGCTCATTACCCAAACAATACAGAAAGAGTAAAACAGGACAACAAGCAAGGCATGTGGCCATCAGTTCATCGATTGAGCGTTATTCTAATCGGACCTGAATAGAGCCCAATGGCACGAATATCGGAGGTGCAATTCAGGAACTACGGGACAACCATCCGTTTCTCGCTGGAGCGGCAGCGCTTGGACTGGTCGCAGTCGGCGGTGCAGTCGTCGTTCCCGCTGTCCTCGTTGGCACACTCAACATACTGGGATTCACCGCCACTGGTGTGGCAGCAGGTTCGTCTTCTTTCCACTGCCGTCCGGGACTGCGTATGTTTATATTCCACAAGGATCTGCTGCGGCCTGGATCCAATCTGTCGCTTATGGTGCGGCTGTCGGGAGTGGCTCAGCGTTTGCATGGGCGCAATCCGCTGCAATGGGCGGAATCGTCGTGGCTACGGCTCCAGTCCAGGCTCTCACAGCGGGAATGGTGGGACTGGGAGCTTACATCGGATGGGGGAGACGGCGTGAAGAACAGGATCATACTGAATAGTCAATTAGAATGGTCAACCACATTCTATGTACTTTACTAGCTGTCTGCCCGCACCGTCGGCGGAATTGATAAATGAATCATTACTCGTGATCGTCTCCTCGATGGATGCCGATTCGCTGTCACTGACGCTACTTTACTTGCAACACGTTGAGCTAAGACTTGAAAAATAGTCATTGACGGGAATTTTTCTGTGCCCTCAAAACGGAATCCCAAGCTCGCAAGAAGGCCACTTTCAGCCTTGGTATCCAACGAACGTCGCAGCTTACTTGGTTTCCATTTTCAGACTCTCCAAGGGCGACAGATGCGAACCGTCGGCAGGAAAGCCTGAATAATACTTGTGCGGCAACAAATTCACCACCAGTGTCTCCCATTTTTCATTTATACATTACTTATCTGAATCAAGCAGCCGTTCCATTGGAATCAGCAGCTTATGGGAGTACGTACGAATACGAAGAAGTAACAACGAAGTAGTCTGTAATCTAATCAATCAATCAATCAATCAACATCAATCGTTGCGCCTCCTCCGATCACACTACAGTACGATCACGCACACAGCTTGTTTTCTCCTGCCGTATCACACGACTGCCCCACACCAGCATCCATCGTCCATCCACGCATACCACCACACATATAAACTCAAATTTTACGATGGCGACACCCACGTATGACCACGCAACCCTGGGCATCACGGACCCGACGTATCAGATCCCGCCTGGGTACCTGGGCAACCTGACGCCAGCGCAGGAGAGCGCGTTTGCGCAGGCGAAGAAGGAGCTGCAAGAGGAGGGCTGGCTCGTGGAGGGCCCCATACGTATGACGGACTCCGAGTTGTGTCGGTAAGTACTCGTATCCTATGTGTGGGTGAGCAGCGGCTGACAGCTCTCCGTCCATTTTCCCTCCTGTCGGATTCCATCTCCGCTTCGTATATGCGCTTGGCGTGCACAGATTCCTCCGTGCGCGTCAGTTTAACGTCGCGAAGACGAAGGAGATGTTCATCTCGTGCGAGAAGTGGCGGAAGGAGTTCGGCGTCGACGACCTCGTAGCCAACTTCGAATACCCAGAGCTGGCGGAGGTGGACAAGTACTACCCGCAGTACTACCACAAGACCGATATCGATGGGCGGCCTGTATATATCGAGCGTCTCGGCCTGATCGATCTCACCGCCATCTACAAAGTCACAACGCAGGAGCGCCAGCTGCAGCACCTCGTCACGGAGTACGAGAAGTCGATCAACCAGCGCCTTCCCGCGTGCTCCGCCGCGGCGGGCCACCCAGTGCAGAACTTCTGCACGATCCTCGACCTCAAGGACGCGTCGCTGTCCAACTTCTACCGCGTCAAGGACTACGTGTTCAAGGCCGCCGACTTCGGTCAGAACCGCTACCCTGAGACCCTGGGCAAGTTCTACATCATCAATGCGCCGTGGCTTTTCTCGGGCGTCTGGAGCGTCATCAAGCCGTGGTTGGACGAGGTGACCGTGTCGAAGATCGAGATCCTCGGGTCAACATACCAGGACAAGCTTTTGGAGCAGATTCCGGCGGAGAATCTGCCCGCCATGTTTGGTGGGAAGTGTTCGTGCCCTGGGGGGTGCTCGTTGGCGGATGCTGGTCCGTGGTCGGAAGCAGGGAAGACAGCACAGCCTGAAGAAGTGACGGGGGCAGTGCCGGGAGCAGCGCCGGGGGTAGTGACTGAGCCAGTGGTGGAGACCGAGGCTGCTGGTGAGGTACTGTCTGCTTGAAATCTAGAGTAGAATGCTAGATAGACTTCGAAGGGTGTCCCGCGACTTTGACTTGATCTGTCGGGATGGCTATGGCGAGACTTACGCCACAGGGCTGTTAGCGCAGTTGGTAGCGCGTCCGCTTAGCATGTTGGCTTGCGGGAGGTCACCGGTTCGACTCCGGTATAGTCCATTTCCGCCAGTGAAGGATCGTTTTTGGCCTCCTTGGCCCAGCTGGCCATGTGCGTAGTTGCGTATCGTCTTGTCCCGTTAAACACTTCTCCTATGGGTCGTTGTCATCTTATTTGATGTTTCTCCCCTTGCAATAGGCCGGAGGAAGAGGTGCATCCCTAGCTTATGGCGAAACGATCGACGATCGGTGCCTCAACGTCAAAGCTTCTCATTCCCCGTATTCAGACATTTACTATCCCTTCGCCTACTCCGATCTTCACACCTATGCCGCCACCTCCTCCAAAGTCGTCGCGTCCGACGCGTCAACCTGCCGACGAGAATCTACCGCCGTCACAACAACACGCAGCGCTGCAAATGGTGCGCGCCAACAAGATGGAGCGCGTCGTGCGGGAGGCTGGGCCACTCCCGTTCCATCGCCTGCAAGCTCCTGATACTCTCGGAAAGACGCCGAAAGCCCCCGCTCAGCTACCCAGCAACGCCGATCCCACCGCGCGCACGGCGTTCCAGGAGAACCTCATGCGGCGTGTGATGCGCCGGGCGAGTCCGTTCACGCATGGACAAGGGCACGGCACGCGTCGCCCGCCTCTCGTCGCGACCCAGTCTGCACCCGCTATCCACGTACGCCCGATCGCCAAGCATGCAGCGGCTCTCTCTGTTCTCATGCCCGTCCTTGACCTCCCCATCCACACCCATGCCCACACTCCACTAGCACTCACCCGCACGCGCAGCCACACGATGATAACGACGGCGACGACGGCGTACCTTCTGCCTCCGGGCCCGCTCACGCCCAGCGAGGGCGCGGCGATCCTGCGCTCGCCGGTGATCCCTGAGCGCGCGCCGCGGTTTGTGGTGAGCGACGAGCGACTGACGCCGAGTGCCGAGATCCACCGCGTGTCGCACGTCATTGGGCGGGAGAATATGTGTCTGCCGCGTCGCGACTCGTACCACGTCGTGCGCGAGGTCGGGCCAGACACTCCTGATGAGCGCATTCTGCGCACGTTCCGGAGGAAGAGCTACGCAGATGGGTCGGCCCAGTTTCATTGCGATGACGCGCCGTTGTATTGAGGAGGACCTCGGATGTGCTCTTGGTGAGGATTCTTAATCTTAGCGAAGAACGTGATCTTGGCGTAGCGGTGACTGTGTGAACTCGAGGTCGGCTCGGATTCTACTTCAAGTTCTTTGTAGCCACTGTCCTTAATCTGTAAACATGATTCAAACTGTACCGAACTGTACAAGGGAGATGCGAATCGAAGTAATTGCCTTCGCTGGTATCATAGCGAGAGTCCGGGAAAAGTCAGGTGAAGCATTCAAGTCTACTTTAGAATGTTCTGAGGAAGGTGTATGTGGGGGCGAGAGCACAGATATGCAGCTCAAAATCCGGTAGCAGGGACACTATGAGCCGGGGACGATGATACCAGAGATTCTCCGCTTGACATGGCGGACGACGGACATCGCCACTCGTGTGGCCTTCGAAGGCTCCCTCCACGATGGTATAACATCCTGCGGAGTGCGAGGTGATACAATGTCCCGACTACTTGCAGGGCTGGAGGCCAAATCCGGTACACCGGCAGAGGAAGTACAGGCGACTGAGGTCGTCGTTATCCTCCTACGGCGATGATGCCTCACGGACCGATTTCGCCCGGAGTAGCGGACAGATTCCGCCAGTCCTTCATCGGCCCGTTTCTTCATCCCCTCGCACTGCACCAACACCTCCACCTCCCTAACACGGAGCTCCCAATCCAGCACCGCCAGCACATCGCGCTCGATCTTGCTCACATCACGCGTCGTGAAGAGCCCCGCAGTGCACATCGCCCAGTGGCAGTTCAGCATCGTGCTGTCTTGCGTGTACTTGCTCGCGAGCACGAGCGCACCGAGGATGAGGCGCTGGGCGACGAAAGCGGAAGCACCGCGGATGGACATGATCGCGCGCGCGCGCGTTATGTACGTCAGCGCGACAAGCAGTGTCGGAGTGGTGATTTGGGCGTGCGAGACGAGGGTCGTAACAAAGTCAGTCAGGTGGCGATGGTCGTCCTCTGCGCTTCGGGAGCCAGTATACCGGGAAGTCCTTTTACGATGGAAGGAGGAGGACGGCGCGGATGCACGGGTATCGTGGTCCAGAGCGAAGCGTACGGCTTCTGTAACACAGTCGACAGTATACTCTTCGAAAAGTGAGCACATGGGGAAGATGCGTGGATGAAGCAACTCACCAATGAGAGGCGGAGATATGACCATGCCAATGAGCTGCAGCATAACGTGCGAATGCGAAGCAGGGTGCACAAGAGATGCAGGGTGCATGCGGCTCAACGAGTCCATTTGAAAATCACGCATGGTCATGATGAGCTTATCCGAACAAGGAGAGAAGCACGAGGCAATAGAGTATCCATTCCGCCGAAGGTTGTGTTATATATCCAGTAGAGGCCAAAGAGTAGGCCAAAGAGCGTCATGAGGGGCCGCTTTGAGCTGCTTCAGTAAAGCTGATTGTCACGTTATCTTACGGAATTGACAGCGTGACACTCCTTTTTCTGCTGACAATCTCTCGGGAGAAGCCATGTATGTTTCTCGGGTGACACACCTACGTACTTGAGTACCACAAAGCCACCCTGACCACATCAAGTGAAAGCCGTCTGCACAGCTTTGGTCGATCTAGCCAGTGGCCGCTGAGTCCAGCCCAGGTAACTATCTGATGCAGTTGCCGGGCGCGATGTCACTACCCGCCGCCAAGTCAGAATCAAAAGTCGGTAGCAAATTCTCTCTCTACACTCATGGATTCACCAACATCAGCAGCAGCACCTCATCCCGAAAAGACGCCCCCCATAGCCGTACAGTCCCGGCGTGCCGCGCGCCGGGGCATGTCTCGCCTGACGTGCTCCCTCCTGCTGATCCCGACGCCCGTCTTCGTGTGCCTACTGATTCTGTTCCTCCCTCTGCTCAGGCTCCTCGCGCGCACGCGGATGTACGAATTTCCGCCTCGCGAGCTCTTCGTTGCGGAGGCAAATATCGGAGATGTCGCGCCAGAGAACCGCACGCAGGTCGTGCAGCCACTGGTGGGGGCGGAGGATACGTTCGACGTGGCGGTGAGCGTGTGGCTGGCGCGGACGGTGGAGGAGCAGGAGTATATATTTGACAGCGAGGACTGGGACGACGCTGGGCGCTCGCTGTCTGCGGAGCAGCTCGTTGGGCCCGATGCAGCGGCGAACATGACGGTCTGGGAGAAGAGCCTGGTCTTGATGACGCACCGGAACTTTTTAGACGGGTACCACGACGCCATCTCGTCGGAAAAGGTGGTGTTCTCGGATGCCGTGTTTCGCGACGTGCGGATGAGCGACACGAATTTACATGCGGAGGTCCCATTACAGATCCCCACTGAGATTTTGTGCGTTGCACCCTTTCTGATGATCTCCAACTCACACAGTGATTGTAGCCATGAGATGCAAGGCAACAACAATGTTCTGCGCGCGTCGTTTGTGGTTATTCCCAAGTCGCCGCTGCTCCCATATTACAAACACTTCACGTCGTGGTATCCACATGACTTTTTTCGCCCACAACTGAAATCTTTCCCGTGCGTGTACTTCGTTCGCATCTGATCGTTATTCATCTGATACTCAGATTTCCACTCAACTCGACTGAGCACACGTACCACCGTCCCATCGAACAGGCGTTTGATTCGTTCGGTTTCACCATCCCGATGGTTGAATATCACTCCGTCGCTCCTATATGCCTGAGCGATGACACGTCTGAGATAGCTAATCACCCCCACGTCATCACAAGGTGAGTAATCAATCAAAAGATCTCCCTGTTTCGAGTCCTGAAATGTTAGAACACATTTGCGAATGGTACGCGAAACACGACTCTTCAACGCGAGTCTTTACACCGGCTTGCACGAGTCGTTGCAGAGCACCGCCGTGAGTTCTGGATGGACGGCACTCATCTTGCCCACTGACCTCACAACAGTGCGGGCATTATCCCGAGAGCGAGGCGTGGCATGTTACTCGGTGCCACGAGCGGAGGTACATCCACAACGTCAACTACGAGACGCGACTCTGGTTTGCGCTGCCCTCCGGTGACGGCAACGAAACGACGCGAGAGGAGAGTGCGTACGCGCCATTCATGGATGTGCTGCAATCCAGTGCCGGGCCCAGAGTAAGTCAAGCCACCTTCGGATACTTCACCATTGAGACCGAACGTAGGACGTCGTACCAGTTCCTATCAACCGAGAAACCTGTGCGGAGGCGGTCAGATCCTCTCAGGAAACAATGAACATCACATGGAGGCTTTCATTCGGAACTCTCTCTCCCCGGAGGTTTCTCCTGAGTGACCTGGATATCTTGCCATCCCAGCGAAGCGATCACACGGACAGCGATTTCTCGCGCGCGATGAAACAAGAGACGACGGAGCTGTTCGGTGATCAAGTTCGAGTTTCCTCGTGATCCGCCCGATCTGATGTTTCGCGCAGGCGTGGTGTACGGGCATCGACATGGCCCAGAGTCTTCTGCCGGTTTTAGGCTCCTCCGTTTCACGATCTCGTCAGTGACTTTATGCATATCCGCCGTGTGGCTGAGGCCAATTTTGATCCAGTCTGATCTCGAACTCACTTTTATTCTTTCTCGCATGCATCTACTGGTTCACACGCCCAACTTCGGCCTTCATCAGCATCCCTGGAACGCTCCTGATAGTGTCGGGAGAGCTCTGTGCATGCGTTTTTGGGATTTACTACATCCTCACGCAATCAACTGGGAAGGATCCAGGAGTGGATGTATCGTTCATCGTATACAGTTTGATCGGGAATCTGCCATCCACCATCCTTATCTTGCGAGCGATCTCACCTTTAAAGCTGGCCTGGACGTTCACGGGCCCGAGGATTCGATGGGTCAAACGAACGCACCAGGAAAGAGCGAGTGCGCGGTTGGATGCGGGATGGCTCTGGCGTGTTTCTGTGAGGCCCCCGGTTACGAATTCGTCGCGCGTATGCTGATGATTCACCGTCTCCAGCTGTTCGCTGCGCTGACACTAGTCTACTGGGCTTTCGACTTCCAGCACACGTACATATTCGAACCGGCGCTCTTCGCCCGGAACGAAAACGACACCACCGGCCGTCTGTCCGACAACGCGGCCACCGTCGCCGACGCGCTGATTATCACCGGGACCGTCTCCCAGCTTGCACTGAACCACCGGTCTGGTGTGTTCGCGGGGCGATACCGCGTGGCGCAGATCCTGGCACTGCTTAGTGAACTGCTGAAGCAGATCTCGGCTGTGCCCCAGCCCGGGACGCAGCGCTCGACGCTGAGTCTGTCGTATGCGGAGCTGGTCTGGAATGCGGTGTTGGTTGTTGGCGCCTGGCAGGCCTGCGTGATGTCGAGCAGAATTCCCGAGGACGACGGAATGGACGAATAATATTTCATCTACGGAATGATAAAGTCATCAATTGCATATGTTCCTGCGAGTTACTCAATGGCTTCGATCGCTCGTAGATAAGATCGAGGGCTAGTTGTGGCTACAAAAAGAGGGTCACGTGGATTAGTAGACAAAGGGATCGATCATTCGCTGCCAAACAAGACATCCGAGGAGACGCGCTCCACCACGCTCTTTGACCTGCTCTTTGACCTGCTCTTTGACCTGTCCGACATATATATAACATGATCCTCAGTAGCATGGGCGTTTTAGAACCCTCGTCCTTTCCACTGCTCTACTAGCATATACCAGGCCATCATGCTCATGTGTGATTCGCACTATGCTTCCTCCAGCCGCATCCACCCTGCGTCTCTGGTGGACCCCGCCACCCATCCCCAGAGCGTGCTGCGCATCATCGATGCAGATGTATCTCAATATCTTATCGGTAAACATTGTCATTCTTACATGACTTCGGCCGTACTCACTCCGCACAGACTACACCGTCGACTGCGTCACGGAAGCCGCACACTTGGCCCTCGAGGAGGGAGACGCACCGCCCGTACCCCAATCAGCGTCTTTGTCTCATCCCCCTCGTGGCCGTACACCACGCCGCCGTCGCCGCAGTAGCTGCGAAGTGGACGACCGCCGGCGTCTTACCGACTTCGTCTCGACCCTCGTCGCGCGCGCACAGATCACGGCACCCACGCTGCTCGTCGCACTGATCTACCTTGCACGTGCCCGCGGGACCATGGCCGTCCGCAGCCTCGCGGGGCTCCTGACGCAGCGTCTTGTGCTCGGCGCGCTCGTGCTCGCGAGCAAGTACACGCAGGACGGCGCGATGCTGAATGGCCACTGGGCAGTGTGCACCGCGGGACTGTTCACGACGCGTGAGGTGGGAAGGATCGAGCGCGATCTACTGAGTGTGTTACGCTGGGACCTGGGCGTCAGGGAGGCGGAGGTGGAGGTACAGTGTGAGAATGTGCAGAAACAGAAATGGGCTGACGCGGCGGGAGAGGGTGGAGTAGCAGAAGCCCAACTCTTGTCCGGACGCACTCGATCGACGGGTAATCGTCACCGGAGAAGGATGCCGACGATGTGTGCTGTTCCGGACCTGGACTCGAGCCCTGCAAGCAGCTGCAGCAGCCTTTCACCCCGCACGCCGGAGGACCTCTTGCGGCCCTCATATCATCCGAGAAAGATGTCCCAGTTGACGATGTCTATGATGTATGCCGTGGAAGAGGGTGTTCCCGGCATTCTCGTCTCAGGGTAGCGTGAATGTTTTACCACTCTTTTTCATGGCTTTGCCGCCCCTGCCGCCCGCGTCATCGTGTTGCCCGCCATGGATCCTACACAGTACGCCGTTGTACTGTACACGGTGTAAACTTGTCATCATGCGCCTGCACGTGCTCTTGTTTTTGAACAATAGAATTCTCCCTCCGTACCCACAAATTACGTGTGTCGAATGCGCACGGAGAATGCTCAGACGTCGGGTCCCGAATACCAAGTGAATCAACGGGCCAAGAAACAGCCAAGCTTCTCAGATGATGCCGAGCCGTCATCATGATGACGCGCGCTTCACTCTCTTCCCACATCCATCCGAGACCGACGCAGACCGGAACCCCATAATCCGCTTCATTCCCATTCGCTGGACGACCTCTATTATAACTATCGAAATCAGACCGCGCATCATCACGGAACGATCCTGAGCCCAGTGCAGGCATCGCATCTACCTTGGTGCCGTGCGGTTCAGGAGGGTGACAAATACGGCCAGCTTGGACACTCCTTTATGCCTCCCTGATCTTCCGTTTCTTCGACCACTATGACGCTACCACAGAGCGAGTCCGCTGCCCCCTACACGCCCGCTCTTGGGTATCTCGGAAACCTCACGGGCGCGCAACAAAGCAGCCTAGATCGATTACGCGATGAGCTGAGGCGCGATGCGGTGGACTCGAAGAGCGGGGAGAGGATGGACGACGAGACACTCCTGCGGTACGTCACGCCCGTCTGTGTGTTGTGTGCGTCTCGGATGATGTTGATGCTTTATGCCACCCGTTGCCAGCTTCCTCCGCGCGCGGCGCTTCGAAGTCCCGGCCGCCAAGGAGATGTTCGTCTCGTGCGAGGCGTGGCGCAGATCCTTCGGCGCGAACGACATCCTCGCCACGCTCGACTTCGCCGAGCTGCCCCTCGTCAACCGGTACTGCCCGCGGTACTTCCACAAGACGGACCGCGACGGGCGGCCGATCTACATCGAGAGCTTCAAGACTGTTGACGTCGACGCGCTGAATCGCGTGAGCAGCGTCGAGCGGCAGCTGCAGCGGCTCGTGTACCAGTATGAGCGCACGCTTCAGACACGCCTCCCAGCATGCGCCGCGCGCGCGGGGCACGCGGTCGACGCGTTCTGCACGATCATCGATCTCGAGAATCTCTCGCTGGGACAGTTCTACCGCGGCAAGGACTACCTCGTGCGCGCCGCGTCGATCGGGCGGCACCGCTACCCGGGGATGATGGGCAAATTCTATATCATCAACGCGCCGTGGGCGATCTCTGCTATGTCCGCCTTTGTCAAACCGCTGGTGCACCCCGACAGCGCTGCGAAGATCGTCGTGCTCGGGACCGACTATCGGCAGACATTACTAGAGCAGATCCCTGCGGAAAATTTGCCAAAGGAGTACGGAGGCACATGTGAGTGCGGTGGGGGGTGCACGATGAGTGATGCGGGGCCGTGGAGGGACTCTGGGCACAAGGTTCAATTGAACTGAGGTGTGACACCGCTATTTTTGGGCAATTATCGCCCAGCTTAGAACTTAATACATCCGTCTTGCGGTCTGTAGCGCTACTATTTCTAATGTACCGGTTTAAGACTGAAACTCAGCTTGTAAAACGCGTAATGGCTTCTGGCCGATGAGCGGCTCGTTTATAGCAACCGTAACACGTGATCCAATAGTTGTCTAAACCCGCACGACATGCTCGTTCTTTGACCCCTGGCATCAATTACGAACGAGTTCATCATAGAGACGCTCCGAATGCGATACAATAGGATGCACCCATCCTCTATTCTACGACAGGTGGACGTACATATCCTGATAGAAACCCCCACACCCATTGAACAATTTGCATAAGCCTCAGCTGTTAGAATTTTAGAACCAGAGCAATACACACCAATTAGCTTGACTAGAAGGGGCTCAGAGGATTCCGCTGCCTTATTTTCTCACACGGGAGTAAGCTGCTGCCGCTGAATCCATTCTTTAATGAATGAATGGGGAGATGACGGCGGAGATTCGATTCTCATGGGGTACCTATAGAGTCTAGCATGCCGTGGAAGTATCATTTCATGTTCAGATTCGTGCAGTGCAGTGATAGGTCTATGTACATAGTCAGTATGTGCTTCTTTGTGTTCCTCTAACGAGTCAGTATATCGTCTAGCTGTCGTAAATTCAATTTCCCTTTAAATGCATTTCAAGCTCAAAGCTCTCGACTCAGCGTCCACATCCGGGCGCTGAAAATGCCGTCCTTCAGCGTCCGTTCGCTGACGACCTCCCAGCCAAGTTTCTCGTACAACCGCTTCGCCATGGGCTGGAACTCCGTCGTGCTGAGGCTCACTCGGATGGGAGATAGGGTCTCGCAGTGGGCGATGACGCGCTGCATGAGCTGAGTGCTGATGCCACGGCGCCGGAGGCGGGCAGAGACGACCATGCGCCTGATTTCAGCGGTGACCAGGGGCGACGCCGATTTTTCGCTGGATGTGTAGCACGCTAGTTATATCCGTCAGTAGTATCCTGAATCGGAAACTCCGAGGCGACCGCGCACCAAGGCCGATGTACCCAACAATCTCCTCCTCCTCCGGCTTCTCCTCCTCCGGCCCTTCCTTACTCCCGTCGACCGGCATGGTAGCGACGAGGAATACTCCAGGTGCTGCATATACGCCCTCGATCCCGTCCCTCCCAGGCGCGAGGTCGGAGCGCAGCGCCTTCTCACAGAAATGCCGGATTGCGCGCGGGATGCCGGTCCATATCGCGCCAACCATAGCCGCGCCCAACCCAAACAGGAGCGCACCCGCACCAATGGCTGCGCGTGGAGGAACGCGGAGGAGGAAGGGCGGAAGAGGAAGGAGGGGCGTCCGTAGGGTCAGAACCAGCCCGAGTCCTAGTCCGCTAGCGCTGAGGAGATAGCCGAGGAGACACGGGGCTTTAAGAAGGAATCGGCGGCGCGCGACGTATGTGAAGCTGTCCTCTACCCGACGTATCTCAGCTGTCCGCAGCAGGTGGTGTGACGGGGACGCAGAACGTACTGCTGGTCACGAATCCCTCGAACAGCAGCGCGCGGATGTGTGGGTGGTCAGATGGTCGGTATGGACGGATGGTGATGCGCTGCGACATCTCTGGTGCGGACGTCAGCGGGTTTAGCTGTAAGTGTTAGTATGGAGATGAAGACGGGGCAGAGCGGAGAAGCTAAGCAAATTTAGCCGGACTCGTGGCTCGTGGGAACTGATGGGCAGTCAGGATCAACCGGAGGGCCTTGACGATGCGTCCTGTCGGGGGAAATGTCTTCAGAGCGCGTTGAACAGAATACATTGCTCAATGTGAATTTTACCGGTAGAACTGTTGTCCGGTCCGCATAAAATAACAATAGCAATTTAATAAGAGACTATGAGTAAACGCGAAATTCCCTCGCCACACAGGGCTGTTAGCGCAGTTGGTAGCGCGTCCGCTTAGCATCCTGGCGTTGCGGGAGGTCACCGGTTCGACTCCGGTATAGTCCAAGTGACAAGCTACTTTTTCACTCCGCTTGGCCTTGGTCTTTGAACCTGCCTTCATTTCGTATCTTCTCTCCCTTCTAGTTTGTCCGGTGAGGCATCCGTCCTTACACGCATGCGGTTCACTGAATTTTATGCTTCTCCACTACGTATAAAGTGCCCTTCCGCCGTCCAGTTCCCTGACAATCGCATCAATGTAGTGGTATAATATCTTGGAAATTAAACTATAATAAATAGTACTGTATTCCTAAACTATGTCAGGTTTCCTCCAGGCGGTAATCCGATGCCCACTATTCAACTTGTCAGTGAATTTTGAAGCAAACTCGATTGGAAATAGCGAGCTTACCGTCATGTGGCGATGCTAGTTACCCTGGTATGCGGAGCCGTAGTATGTCCCATTTGGATAATAATAGCCCTGATTATTGGGATCGTAATAGACTTGCTGCTGAGTTTGTTGGACTGGTGGGTTGTGGTATTGGTAATCGTTTCCGCCGTAGGATTGCATCGGCATCTCGGGGTAGTAATACCCCGCCTGGCTCGTGGATGCTCCGGCGTTCCGGGGCATGCCGCTGCTGGCTGATACGTTCACTGGGACGTATTCGCATTGAAGGTTGCGCTGTATACAGCGGGCGCAGGGCTGATTGTCTTCGTTATTGTTTAGGCACTGAGATGTGTGCGCTCAATGACTATTCGGCATTTCATTGAGCATCAGATGAACGTACCTTGACTTTCGATTTGCGGCAGTTGAGGCAGGCAATGAAGACCCTGCTGTGTTTTTCCCTTTGTGCCGACATGGAACTTGTTGTTTAGGAATGTGAGGTGGGAGTGAGGTGGAATTTGTTCGTATTTCTCTGAATGCCTTCATCTAGCGTCTCGAGCCCTTTTGTATGAAGTCACACTCCGTTGCTTTCTCTCACGCACCGTCTGGAATCCTGACGATAACTGCGTCGAACCCGGTGCTCGATGACCCATTTACTCGCGCGTGCGTCTCAACTCAGGAAATCACGGAATTCGGGCGGTACAATGACAAACAACATTGTATGCGCATCGAACGGGATCACGCATCGGGATGACAACCCTGGCGATGCGGCACAGGCTGCGAAATGATCTTCATAGCCGCGCTTTTCATTGAATGTGAGGATCACGGCTCGCCGTGGGGTGCAGTGTGCGGAACTCATGACTGACCTGCCAAGATCGACCAGCCTGATTCCCCGAGACGGGGAGAGCCGCTCTTGCGATATGGACGACGATGCAGTCGGATGGTATCAGATAGATGTCAGACATGTCGCGTGTCATAGCTGTTGGCATCAATGTGATCTCGAGCATGAATTCCAGAAGGAGATCATGTTTCCCACCATTATGTCGGTTCGGTCAAAGAAAAGCAAACTCCTTGATGGTATCACACCCCCCACGCTGAGCACTACGCAGGACATGGCTCCAATCGATGCTTCCAAGAGCACACACAGTCGTATGTCAGACATGGTGACGGGACTAGAACTTGGATTCATATGGAGTACCGCAGGATATTCCCTGCTTGGCCACCACCTAGACCGTACCGCCCATTCCTTGCATTGATGTCAATCAAGAAAGAGTACCTCACTCATGTAAAACATGTCTCATCAAGGCAGCTTCGACACTCAGCAGGGGATCAGCACTTCTCCGTGAGAGGGAGGGCAACCCG